ATATATATGAACATACATGGAGCAGGGGAATTTCCTGTGCTACAAATCGAGGTGCGTAAGAAAAAAAATTAAGAAACAAAGAAAAACTTTAATACCCAGAAAAACTATCATAAGCTAAGTGTACAATATTATTTTATGGATTGACCAAAAATATATAATTATAATATTACATAATATTATAAATATATAATTATAATATATTTTTATATAATCGATTATTTTTATTTAAAAAGTTATATGTTATATTGTTTATAAAAATTATAATATTACAAATTATAACCAACTATATTATCTCTGTTTATGGACTTCATCAATTTTGTAGTCTTCAAAGGTTAACGACAAATCAAACCAGCTTTCCTCCGTAATCTTTTTTTCAAAATTTCCCTTGGCTGCTGTCAATTAATCGATTTGGAGAAGGTTTTTTTTTCTCCCCTTTCTAAATTCTCTGTTTCGATTTGTCGAACTCTATCTCAGTTTCGGTTGCTATTGGGTCTAGGTTTTCATTAATATTTATCGCCAATTCAGAAATGGGTGTCTCTGTAAATCGTCTTCCCAATCATTGGGTACCAAAAAGTTGAATTATTTTCATGAATGAAAACGCACATATTGGTCGTTAAAGTGTAATGCTTTCCAGGTGATTGCTTAGTAATGAACTGCAGAATGACGCAATGGTGAGGCTAGCATTTTTCTTTCTTAAATAAAATATCAAAAAATAAGAAAAAGTGGATTTCTTTAAAAAAATAAAAAGTTAGAAGAATGATGTTAAAAAGAGAGAGAAGAAAACAAGTTTAAGTTCAAGAATTAGAATAGATGCATGTATAATATAGAGTAATTGTAATAAAATTTACTAGAGTAATTGTTGTCATCATTCTTTTTGTACCATTGTAGAACAATATACTTTAATGGAATGGAGGTTTTACGGATATGTGTTCTCTTCGGAGCTTTTGGTTGCCTAGTCGGAGCATTACAAATTTCTATACCATGCCCTCTCTAATTATCTCTGGTCTTTCTTCCATTGTTCCATTAATGATAGGAAAAATATGTTGACATTGCTGCAGTGCTGCTGTTTGTTATGCTTTAGTCACAAACAAAACTTCTGGTGAGATATAGAGACCACTGGCCCTGAAATTGTCAAAGGAATGTTCATTCGCCCTTTTTAGCTCCAGCCTTGATCACTCTCAGCTGTGTGATTACATACTTTTCCGGTGCAGCCATGCTTGTGCTTTTCAGTTGACAATGGTTCATTACCTTTTCCTTCTGCCTTTTTTTTTTTTGGGTCTGCGTTTAATTTGGAGCCCCCATTAAATTGTGTTAAAAACAAAAGTAAACTAAATTATATTGGGCCTGCTTTATTTGGGTATTTTTTTAGGATTTAGTTGGTCTCAATTTTTAAATTGTTTAAAGATAATTCCTCCCCACTTTTTCTCTTAAAGAAAGTTGCCTTTTTGAAAGAAACTGTCCTCAAAGGATGTATTTCTGCTGCGTGGACCTCAAAGATGTTGAGAAGCAATGTAGAAATCTCAACTTCTGATGTTTTCTAAGGTTGAGAGGAGGTTGGAATACGACTCTTGCTGTTATTTAATGAAATTATTTTTGTTAATAACAAAAATATGTGCATCGAAATGTTAATATATTATTTTTAAATGTTTATTTTTTCAATTTAAACTATATTTTTTGTGTCGTGTGAATTAAAAAATGATAATTTGATCGTGTGAAGTATGATATAAAGATTCTTCAACCAATGCTTTCTTTTACGCTAGCTGTATACAAATATAAATCAAACTTGTCGACGATATGAGTCTAAACATGTGAATTCAACTCCTACGCTAACCAAAGATTAAGTTCAAGTTTCCGCTAAGACTAATTTTTTCCTTTTTTATTTTTTTATCAACAAGAAAAAAATATTATTAATTAAAGTATAAGAAATATTTATGTCCATTACAAAGTGAATAAAAATATCACTTTACAAAACAATAAATATAGAACTTAATA